TGGTGCCAAACATGCCTCTAAACTTGTCCATAAGCTTGGAAACTAATTACGGATCTAGCCTAGGAGTGTTTAAACATCAAAACACAAAGATTGAGGGCATAAAAGAGAGTTTACGGCCCAAGCACATGCTTAGGCCGTAAACACCTCTAAACCATGTCAAAATGCCCCAAAACACTCCCAAACTCATCCTAGGGCTTATTACATAATTTAGGGACTTATCCTCTTGAGTTTAGACACTTGAAACACTCCAAAATGATTTAAAGAAAGGAGTTTACAGCCCAGACAAAGGTCAAGGCCGTAAACACCCTAAATCATGCCCAAAAGTTAGTTTTTGCCCCCCCAAATGACCATAGGCTATCTCTATAAAATGTTAGGAAGGATTTAAGGGCTTAAACACAAGGAAAATGAGGGATTTCTTGGAGTTTATGACCCAAGAATTTATCTAGGCCGTAAACTCCCCAAAACCCCCTCAAATGTTGGTTTTAATCACCCAAAATAGCATCAAACTTCATAAGAAAATTCTAGGAAGGCAATAGGGGCTTAAAACTTCACTAAACTCAAAGGTTGAGAGTTTACGGCCGTAAACTCCCTTGGGAGAGTTCCTAGGCCGTAAACTCCTATAAAGCACCCTTAGAGACCTCAAACCCACACATACCTTTTAGGAAAAGTGCTTGGAATAATTCTATGAACAAGCTAGAAGCATCTAACACCCAAGAAATTGACCTTGGGAGTTTACGGCCGTAAACTCCCTTAGGTTGGGTCGTAAACTCCTTGTTTGGTCCATGTTGATGCTTTAAGTCCATTTACACACTTAATATTTGAGTTTAGCAAAGTTCCACAACTGATAGGAGACCCTTAGCACCCTTAAACGCTACCCGGGACACCCAAACACTTAGCCAAAAGTGTTTTTCGCTCCTGTGAGTGCGTATAATTGTTTAATTAGTATTAAATGTGCTAATCACATGTAAACATATGTTATCATATGTTAAATAGGTCATTGTGTGTGTTCGAGTCCTTACGTAGCACCGAACGCCCAAACAGCACTCTCGTCGGACCTAATTACACCAGGTGAGTTCATACCCCTGAATGAACCTTTTAAATGCTTTTAAATGTTTTATAGGGGGGAATACAAGTTAAACATGCCAGTTATCATGTCAATCGCATATGATTGATAACCCGCATGCACAAGATTTTACCACTTTACACTGTTTTACCGAGTGGGACACTATAATGATTTTACTTATTTCATAACTTTTACTTATACTAAATTATCCCAATTCATTCTAAATTGGTTTATGAAGGATCCTCTAAGGTTTTTAAACATATTTTATGAAAGAATACAATTTGTGATTTTCTCTGTACATAAAGGCTTTTCATTAAAGATTTCCCTTTTAGACGTATACTTTTACTTGTTAAATACTGCTACTTCGCTTATTCTTATTTCATACTCTGACTCGGTAACACTTTCACTTATACCTATAGTCACTTATACATGGTGACGCTTATACTTGTTCACGCTCTTACTTAGTAATATCGAATCTACTTCACTTATACATGATATCGACTCTACTTCACTTATACTTGATAAGCTCTCGCTTCACTTATTGTCGCCTCTACTTCGTGATACGTTTATACTTGTTCGACACTTCTACTTCACTTGTGACCGCTCCTACTTCACTCGTTAGACACTCCTACTTCACAAGAATCACTTATACTTGATACACTTATACTTTACGATTCTGTTATTCCACACTGTATGAATTCACACCACAATGATATGTCTTCAATTATTACACACTCAGTCATAGTTAGATGTACATCTGTGCTTATATAGATACATATAAGTAACGATTGAAAGACTTAGGAAGGCTCATCCGCCCTATTTCCTTTTCTTCGTCGGGATGTGGTCTGGTGGGATCGGGTGGCCGTCCAAAAGTCGTTTGGTTCATTAGTTATATACTATGTATATGAGTATGGACATACAGGAAAGTCTCCATTCAGTTATGTTAAGAGTCTCTACCTCTAGTCTACACTTACATTAGAAACCCACTCCCTCCTAGTAACACACTATCCTCTATTTGGGATGCATCTTCAGGACGCGGCCTTCTCCGTCATGTAGTTGGTAACCAGAGTCTCCTGTAGGGAGAGCGTACATTGTGTGTATAGGCCTATACGGGATTGACAACCCCGCACCCTGACTGCTAGCTACAGTCCACGGCCTACCAAGCCAAGGGGTGACAAATGTCACATTATATAGATGCTCGTAGGGCGTCTAGAACTCTAGTCAGTATGGTTACGAGTATCCTGGGTTGCCTTATAATTCATGGCTTTAAGGTAACAGTATTTCGGCAGCGATTTACACTGTATGCTGATGTCACCTTTTTCAGAGTCACACTGTTTTGACCTTGCTAGATGTATCTTTCATTTGATACCGTCTGGGGTCTGTTATCTCTGTTTGACCTTTCAAGATATACCTTTCATTTGGTATCGTCTGTGGTCTGTCTTCACTGTTTTTGACCTTGCTAGATGTATCTTTCATTTGATACCGTCTGGGGTCTGTTATCTCTGTTTGACCTTTCAAGATATACCTTTCATTTGGTATCGTCTGTGGTCTGTCTTCACTGTTTTTGACCTTGCTAGATGTATCTTTCATTTGATACCATCTGGGGTCTGTTATCTCTGTTTGACCTTTCAAGATGTACCTTTCATTTGGTATCGTCTGTGGTCTGCCTTCACTGTTTTGACCTTGCGAGATGTGCCTTTCATTTGGTATCGTCTACGGTCTGTCTTCATTGTTATGACCTTGCAAGATGTACCTTCCATTTGGTATTGTCTTCGGTCTGCGTTCACTGTTTTAGACGTTACAAGTTGTACCTTTCATTTGGTACCTTCGAGGGTCTGTTTCTCCATTTGTTAGACTGAACCAGGCGTGTCGTTAGTTCGATACTTTCCTAGAGTCTATGACTCTTTTGCCTTAGTCAGCAGTCCTACTGCTGAGGAATATGTTATTCCCTGATGCCTCTGCTTTCTTTAATAATCAAATTCAGTATTTTGATATTATTAGCAATTAAGGGAAACTTCTTCTTACCACATTACACTGACCAGTCTTGGTAGAAGGCTGCTTTTATTAAAGAAAATATAGGATTTTCTGGAAAGAACACTAATACACTGAAATCACTTAAACTACTGCTTTATAAAGTTATTTGACTAAATGACACTAAATACTTATGAACTCACCAGCATTGTAAAAATGCTGATACTCGCTTTTCAAATAACTTGTATTCTCAGGTTAGCATTAGACAGGTACATTCCCGGAGCTGTTGATGAAGATAGCTTAGTACCACGCTGTATTTATTCTAGTACTTGTATTACTTTAAATTGTTGTAATGTAACCTTGTAAAACTATTACTATTAATAAAATGTTTTGTGGTACTTTGATTACTATAATGCATGTGTTGTGATACTTGACATGACGTCATCCACCCCAGAACGTTTCCGCCGTTCCGGTTTTGGGGTGTGACAGTATTGGCTCGACATTCGGATCGTAGACGCTTCAACATACGATGGGCGTATGATGGACTTGTCTAAGTTAGGCCTCGGGCCCACCTGATTGTAGCATGTCATTTTTGGGGCTTATGTAACACCCATAAAAATCATGCCAAATTTAAACTTTTCTAAAACACTTAAAACCATTTAAGATTACATAGTTTGTTTTCAAAATAATAAATATCAAAGTATCCCAATATCAATTCATGAAATCATAAAAGCAGGAGGAGTGGTACGATCATGCCTTCACCTTCCCACAATCACCAGAAGTACGTGAAGCAACAAACTAAAACTGTAAGCCCGAAAGCTTAGTGAGCTACCCCCAAAATACCCATACCCACGATAATATACGTACAACCATAAATAACATACTATGGGTCTAGTCAACCATCAGGTTGGAATACCCTAGGCCCACAACCAACAGGTTGGAATGCCCGCATACTATGAGTCCAATCATCCTCGGGATGGAATACTCACGGCTCACAACCAACAGGTTGAAATGTCCAGGTCTATTGGGCTCCGCACAAAGCAGATAAGCCTCAACCGCCAAACAAAAATGTCACATATAACAGATAATCACATAATAGTCTATAGACCACAATTAATCAAAACAGATCATACCACATAACACATAATACCATCTTGCCTCTCAGGATACCAATCTAATAGATCATACTAGCATATCACATAATACCGCCCTATAACCAAGACATTGACCTATCCAGGCCACTAAGCATAACATAAACTCATCCTAACTACTAGGATGCAAGCCAATAAACATGTTATGTCACAAACATATACAATCCATAAAGGGCCGAACTTGGTGCCTTAGACCCTATTGATAAAGTGAGGATAACTCACCTTGCTAGTAGTGCTGAAACACTAAAAATCTCTTACTGCCGTCTCACTGGGAATCCCAAACTATTACACAATAAACACCAAAATTAATACCCAAAATAACCTTCTTGACTAATGTCCACACCATTCATTATGCCCACTCTCGTTATTGGGCCAAGGCCTAAATTAATACCCACAATAACATTCTCTCTACTTTGATCGAAGATTTGCTGCTTTTCTAGATACGAAATCTACAGCTACTTTACCATCCAAACTCCACATCACAACCAACTTCACCACCAATGATGCTTTAATTCCCCTGTGATGATGATTGTTTCTTCACTCTCTAACAACATCCAATTTCGAAAATCATAGAAGTATGTTGTTGATCTATTTATTTTACTAATGTTTGAGAATCTTCCTTCAGTTTGTACTATTTTAAAGCATGTAATAAAATCAGTTAACACATCATCCACTCAATTGGTTTGTTTAGATGCAATGTAATGCTTCCTTCGTGGTTATTTCTTGAGTTGTGGTTATTTTTATTTGGTAAAAGTATCAATAGTATGAAATAGGGACATTAAGAATTAATGAGTTAGAGATCCCATTCCCATGTGATGCAGGCAATTGGAAACCATGTTGGTCTTACAATTGGTGGTTCAAATGGTCATTTTAAGCTCAATTTCTTCAAGCTAATGATTTCCAGTACTCTTTTACATGTAAGTGGACTTTCTATTTTATAATTCAATAAAAAGATCACTAGAAACCTGAATATTGCCATTTATCATGATATTTTATGGTGGCAAATTTGAGTATCTATTTTAATCTTGATGAACTAACCATGGATTTGTATAATTGTATTCAACAAGAATACTTCGGGGATTAAGAATTGCAGCTCTTCTTGGATTATCATTTTCAAAGGATATTGAGACCGTACTTCATAAACATGCTTCATCCTTATTGGATTTAAGCCAAATATTTTTTTTCAGTTCTTTTTTTACTATGTTATTAAAATTATTTTATGTTGTCATATATGCTTGTTTATTCAGACCGGGATCATGATGGAGGTTGATTATATGCTGTTATATGGAGCTACAGAATCTTCAATTAGTCTTCTTCAAAAATATCACATTCTTGAGATTTTGTTACCATTTCAGGTTATAATTTAAGAACAATGTAATATCTGCATTGTTGTTATAAAAGAATGTAGTTAATGTTTTGAAACATGTTTGGATTGTAGGCGGCATGCATTTCTAGACAACCTTCTGGATCTGAGCAAAGTAGCTAGATGTTAATGGTATGTAAAATTGACACTTGTATCTATGTGTCTATTGTTATTAACTAATTATGAATTTATTTCTACAATTTATAGTTTGGGCTCATATTATTCAACTTCTAGTTATGTTGATCGAACAAACTTCTTTGGCAATTCAACAAAGGTTCCAATATTTTACTTGCGATATAGGAATTGTACTTTGTTTTTTGTCCCTTTTTCATCATAACAACTTTATGTGTGTGTGTTCAAGTGCTAATTTTTGTTAAAAATAACATTTTAACCTCACTTGTGTAGCAAGGATTAAAATCTTTTAAAAGGTCACAAAGATCAACAAATCTTCCCTACAAACCCATATTACAGATATTGGTGAGTCGTAATCTAAATATGAACACAATTTTCTGTTTTTAGACAATTAAGAATTGGGTTGCTATTAGCCATAAGCGTGCAAAATGGTCATTTTCATAAATTTAACACCTTGGCTTTTGAATTTGAGAAAAAAGATGAAAGAGACTAGGACAAAGTGGCACTTTTACAAAGTTGAGGGGGGGGGGGGGGGGGGGGGGGTTGAAAATATGAAAGAAATAATGGGAAAATGGTCATTTTGAAAAAATAAATAGTTCAGAAAAAGAAATAAACATGAAAAAGAAAAGGACAAACATGTCATAATTACAGATTCTGTAGTTGGGTTGCTAGATATGAAGGGGATGAAAAAAGATGAAAGAGACGAACTAAATGATTGTTTTCACAAATTTAATAGCTTGGATGTTAAATTTGATAAAATGGATGAAAAGGTCAACTAGAAAAGGACAAAATGGTCTTTTTTTTACAAATTAACAATCAAGTTGTTATGATAATGTTGCAGCAGTTGCCAAGACTAGCCCATATTGAGGGAAGTAAACTGAAGGTGATATTTCTTTCTTTTCAATTATTACAATGATTAATAAGATAAATCGTTAACAAAACAATCTTTTAGTAATTGTTGCAATATTTTCCAAATGTCAGGAAGCTACTATAAAAGTCAGAGTGCTGACAAGTGAAGAATTTGATGCAAAGTTTGATAAATCTGAATTAGTACAATTTTAAAAAATGTAATGTCTGGGAATCTTTATTCAATTTGTACCAATTTAAAACATCTAATAAAATCATTTAGCATGATTTGTTGTAATTAAATTTATTGTTATAGCTATTTTGTAAATATACTGCTTTAGCTATTTTTGGATTGTGAAAATTGGGAAAATAAACCGAAAAAAGAACAGGGTGTAAACTGTAGGCATACCTATAGAGACGACATGTCGTCTCTATAGGTGAATGAATAGGACATCAAATCGTCTCTATAGGTGAATTACTAACACAATTTGTTGTTTCGATTGATTGGTATATGACGTGTATAACTTTATCTATAGAGACGACATGTTGTCTTTATAGTTGTTTCTACGGAGACGACAATTCGTCTCTATAGCTTTAATTATGGTGATTGGAAACGTATAGCAACGAACCCTTTAGAGACGATATGTTGTCTCTATAGATAAAATATTCCGACAATATGTATAACGACGATAAAAAAAACATCTATTGCGACGGGGCTATGAGGACGAACACTATAAAGACGAATTTAGTACCTACAGAGTTTACAATTGTCGTCCCTATAGGTCTCATTTCTTGTAGTGTCACTAGACTAGGTCACAAGTCCATCGAAGAAGAAGGAGATTTAGATCGGAGAACCAGGTTCAAATCAAATATAAATCGTCTCCATCAACGACCCTCCTCTGGGTGTACAACCTCTTACCCACCATGTATAACCTCCTACAAAAACCAATAGTCAAACTCCATCCCGAGGATGATTGGACCTCTAGTATGTTGGCATTCCAACCCGATGATTGAAGGGTCTGGGGTATTCCAACCCCGTGGTTGATTGGACCCATAGTATGGTGGCATTCCAACCCGATGGTTGAGGGGCCTAGGATATTCCAACCCAATAGTTGATTGTACCCATAGTATGATGGTATTGTATATGTGTTATTTGTTGTGTTGGTACTTTGGGGGAACTCAGTAAGCTTTGAGCTTACAGTTTTGGGTTATGTTTCAGGTACCTCAGATGATCGTGGGTAGGCAAAGGCTTGATCGTGCACGTCCTCATGTCGTGTTTTGTGATTTTAGGAAAACATTTGATGTTAAACTTGTTTTGAAAACTACAATGTAAACAATTATGATTTTTGGTTGATTTGAAAAAGTTTAAATATTTATGAAATTTTATAATGTTAGAGTATATGATTGATGTCTCTATGACTTGTACTTATATGTCTGCATGATAACTGTAGAGGGTGAAATAGACCCGATACCGGTTGAAAGAGGCCGAAGAGGTTGAAATATATCAAGTATTGTTTGAAAGAGACCGGAGGGGTTGGAATATACCCACTACCGGTTGAAAGAGACCGAATGGGTTGAAATAGACCCAATACCGGTTGAAAGAGACCGAATGAGTTGAAATATACCTAGATCTGTTTGACTGTATGTATGTATGACATGAGGTATTTTGGAGGAGCTCACAAAGCTTTGTGCTTACAGTTTTAAATTTATGTTTCAGGTACTTCCAGCTCGAAAAGGAAATGCCCGACTTGATCGCACTGCATCTGCCAATGTTTTTTCCGTATCTATATGATTTTGGGATTTGTTCTCTGATATTATTATACTAGGATAGACTTTTGGATGTTTTGACATGCTTACTAGATGTTTTGAAATGAATTAAAAATAAAAATTTTATCTGAAGTTTTTAGGATGTTACAAGTCAGTAGGTTAAAAAAATCAATCTGATTACATTAGCTAGTATCTTGGATTTTTTTCGTAAAAAAAATCATTTAAGACTAGACGTAAACTAGACCAAAATATTCAATTTTTTTTGGAATAAAATGCACTTTTAATATTTTATGAAACTAAAAAAAAGAGCCTCAATTAAAATTATAAAACCCAATTACCAATTATATTTGTTTACTTATTCATTAGGATGTGTCATTAAATCAATATAACGTGTCATTTAATCAAAGAAACATTAATAAAATTTGATAAAACTAAAATATCATTTTATTCATGGATTATATATATATATATATATATATATATATATATATATATATATATATATATATATATATATATATATATATATATATATATATATATATGAAAAAGTGAATATACCTTTAAATGTATATAAGCTTAGGTAACCAAACATACCATAATACATCGTTTTTTTATTATATTTGCATTATAATGTTGTTAAACTTCAACCTCTAACTTGATTTACTTTGAATATTTTCAAATTTTCACTATTATCTTCCTCTTACATTACATCTTTCTACCGAACACCTACCATTTTATATATATTATTGTTGTGTTGAAGATGAAAATTATGTAAGAGAATGATAATTATGAAATATATAAAAATCATCGATATAAATCAAGTTAAGAGTTGAATTTTAAGAAAGTTTGGATGATTATAATGGATATATAATAAAAAACGATGTAGTATATATATATATATATATATATATATATATATATATATATATATATATATATATATATATATGTAGACTTATGTTATTGTGTTCTAACTATTTATCATGTGGATGCATGATTGATTGTGGACCAATCATTTTAGTTATTTTAAAAAAGTGATTAATAAATGGTATTGAATTAAACATAACTGAAAAATGCCATCTAATTTAATTACAAGGAAATTTTAGCCAATTAAGATAGATTTAATAAAGGAAAACTGCATATTTTAAGGGATTATAAATTTTATTAATTTTTAAAAATCGATTTTTCGAATTATAATTATTTTAATTCGGTCGTTCTGACAGAATATGTTTATGAGTATATTCAAAAATAAAAATATTGCTGAACCATAAAATAATAAAAGTATCGTTGAATCTATTTTTTGATCATGACTTTAAAAACTTTTTTTAGAATGACAAATTATTAAACCATCAATTAATGAATAAAAACAAAATTTATATTAATACTTATATAATATGGGTAACAATTGCTAAGAATTATATTTATTGTTAAAGAATAAAACTAAAAACACTTTCAAATCAGGAAAAAAAAATCAAAATATAACAAAAACAATAATACATTCTAAAAGAATAATGTTGCTAAGAATTACTTTCTATTTTGTGGTCCGTTCTTTAAGCATAAATTTCTGTGAAAACAAACCCAATTGTAGTTTAGAATCCAATAATGCATTAGCAAATGAAAAATAAAAACATAAATCAGTGAGAAAATATGCATATTCCATTCAAACAAAATTGAAATTTGTGATTCCATTCCGACAGAATTGGAATTCTAGACTCAATTACCATATGCATTCTGTTGGAATTAACAAAGAAGTTTTACTTAACCTTATCATTATGTGAAAAAGAAAAAAAAAATCAAATCGCTAGCTTTGAACTTGCATTTAGCAAGTAAAACAAATTAGAATTACCTCATAAGCCTCATTTTCTCAAAGCCTGCAAACATTTTCAAATTGAACAAATTAAAATAAAAAATCAAATTCATCTATTTCAATATGTCTTTTCTAGAAACTAAATAATGCAAATGAGAAGAGGGAAAAAGAAGTACCCAACATTTGATTTCACAAGGCTTATCACCCACATAAGGGATAGTCTTGCACAACATTCGATTCTCGACGTCAGGAAATTTTTCTGTTTGTCCTTCCTATCTTCTGAACACTCAAGCAAGATTAACACTCAAACTCAAAGGAAACTTATCCCTTCCTTAAAAAAGTTGTCATTGAATCACTGACACACATCCATAGCTCTTTCTTTTCTGCATTCAAACCCAGTCAAGAATACAAGAACGAACACCCATGGATTTCGTTGTAAAACATAAACCCCAAACATCAATCCCAATTCATCCATGAATATCATCCAGCACACAAATAAAATCTGGATTCATATTCACTTCACTGCCCACTCGTTCACCTCTCACCTTCATACCTTTGATCTTTATCTCAAATCCTTTTCTTTGAAGCATAAACCGAGGTCTCAAAACAAAAGAAAATGTTGGTGCCCATTTTTGTTCCAGCTCTTTTCCCTTTCTTTTTGTGACATCCCCATTTTCACGGCCAGAAAAGACCGATTTTGTTTGTGCCTTATAAAAATCAGAGTTCTTCTTTTAATAAAAATGTTGCGGAATTTGTTCCCAGAAAAACATGATAAATACGTTATTAAAACATTTTCGGAGAAACGTATTTTATTCATTTCAAAACATTTGGGATGTCATCGTTAATACAGAAACATAAGCATAAACAGAACTTACATTTATTTACACTAGTGATCTACATCTCTTTAAATCTCTCAGTGTAAAGTGACTTCGTATCAACACCTGTGATATAAATAAACTGAGTGGGTCAGGTTGGGAAACTTGGTGAGTACATAGGGTTTTCAACCCACAATAATATAATTATTATGTTTAAACAATCAAGCAATTAAACCCAATTACCCATCCCCATTATCTTCTTTACTCTTAAGGATCTACCCTAAGAATCAACTATTTCTCGTTCATTCGTTCCTAAGGATTATCCTAAGGAATCGACACAAAGTCCATCATAACCACGGTTTACACAACAGGCACTAAGTCTGCATAGTCGCAAGGGTTTAGGCATCAAGTCTGCATGATCACCAAGGTTTAGGCATCAAGTCTGCATGATCACCAGGGTTTAGAGTACACCGGGTGAACACGTCGTTCACAACACCTACAGGTTGCGAGCCTGCTAGTGTTCCACTGGACTGTCTAGAATAGTCCGTGGTTGTTATCCATACTCTGCTAAATGACGAGGCCATCATTTGGGAGAAAGGTTTCTCACATCGTCCACCTCTCATCCTCACCTCACAGTCTATTTCACCTCTCAACTCATCATCCAACTCATACTCCATCTACCCATGTTTTACCCCAACATTATCGTAGATATAAAATACATATACAGTTTAAATCATTTAAAACATGTATAAAATCTTTCATCAGCATAGACAACAAGTATTCAGACGTATGCACACATAGCACGTAATTTATAATAAAATACT